ATCAACTTCTACTCATGAACAGAGGTCACAAGTTCAATGTATACTTTTGACGGAAGATTCTTTCGAATATTTTGCTCAACTCAAAGCAAAGATTTGGAGCTGATTACATCAACTACCAACAAACGACAAATCAATAATTGTTCCCAAGAATCTTTCAAATATTTTGCTCAATTCACAGCAAAGATTTGGAGTTTATTACATCAACTATGAACATACGACAAATGAACAATTCTTTCAAAGATTCTTTCAAATATTTTGCTCAATTCAAAGCAAAGCTTTCGAGTTGATTACATCAACTATGAACACACGACAAATGAATAATTCTTCTAAAGATTCTTTCAAATATTTTGCTCAATTCAAAGCAAACCTTTGGAGTTGATTACATCAACTATGAACACACCACAAATGAATAATTCTTCTAAAGATTCTTTCAAATATTTTGCCAAATTCAAAGCAAAGATTTGGACTTGATTACATCAACTATGAACACACGACAAATGAATAATTCTTGCCAAGATTCTTTCAAATATTTTGCTCAATTCAAAGCAAAGATTTGGAGTTGATTATATCAACTATGAACACACGACAAATGAATAATTCTTTCAACGGTTCTTTCAAATATTTTGCTCAACCCAAAGCAAAGATTTGGAGTTGATTACATCAACTATCAGCACATGACAAATCAATAATTCTTTTAAAGATTCTTTCAAATATTTTGCTCAATTCAAAGGAAAGATTTGGAGTTGATTACATCAACTATGAGCACACGACAAATGAATAATTCTCCACAAGATTCTTTCAAATATTTTGCTCAATTCAAAGCAAAGCTTTGGAGTTGATTATATCAACTGTGAACACTCGACAAATGAATAATTATTTTAAAGATTCTTTCAAATATTTTGCTCAATTCAAAGCAAATATTTGGAGTTGATTACATCAACTATGAACACACGACAAATGAATTATTCTCCAAGAGATTGTTTCAAATATTTTGCCCAATTCAAAGCAAAGGTTTGGAGTTGATTACATCAGCTATGAACACACGACAAATGAATAATTCTTCCAAAGATTCTTTCAAATATTTTACTCAATTCAAAGGAAAGATTTGGAGTTGATTACATCAACTATGAACACATGACAAATGAATAATTCTCAACAAAGATTCTTTCAAATATGTTGCTGAATTCAAAGCAAAGATTTGGAGTTGATTACATCAACTATGAACATACAAAAAATGAATAATTCTCCAAGACATTCTTTCAAATATTTTGCTCAATTCAAAGCAAAGATTTGGAGTTGATTACATCAACCATGAATACACGACAAATGAATAATTCTTTCCAACATTCTTTCAAATATTTTGCTCACTTCAAAGGAAAGATTTCGAGTTGATTATATCAACTATGAACACGCGACAAATGAATAATTCTTTTAAAGATTCTTTCAAATAGTTCACTGAATTGAAAGCAAAGATTTGGAGCTGATTACATCAACTATGAACACATGACAAATGAATAATTCTTCCAAAGATTCTTTCAAATATTTTGCTCAATTCAAAGCAAAGATTTGGAGTTGATTATATCAACTATGAATACACGACAAATGAATAATTCTTTTCAAGATTCTTTCAAATATTTTGCTCAATTCAAAGGAATGATTTGGAGTTGATTACATCAACTATGAACACACGACAAATGAATAATTCTTTTAAGGATTTTTTCAAATATTTTGCTGAATTCAAAGGAAAGATTTCGAGTTGATGTAATCATCTATGAACACACGACGAATTAATAATTCTTTTAAAGATTCTTTGAAATATTTTGCTCAATTCAAAGCAAAGCTTTCGAGTTGATTATATCAACTATGAACACACGACAAACGAATAATTCTCAACAAAGATTCTTTCAAATATTTTGCTGAATTGAAAGGAAAGATTTGGAGTTGATTACATCAATTATGAACACACGACAAATGAATAATTCTACAAAAGATTCGATCAAATATTTTCCACAAATAACAGCAAACATTGGGACTTGATTACATCAACTATGAACACACGACAAACGAATAATTCTCAACAAAGATTCTTTCAAATATTTTGCTGAATTGAAAGGAAAGATTTGGAGTTGATTACATCAACTATGAGCACACGACAAATGAATAATTCTTTCAAAGGTTCTTTCAAATATTTTGCTCAATTCAAAGCAAAGATTTGGAGTTGATTATATCAACTATGAACACACGACAAATGAATAATTCTTTCAAAGGTTCTTTCAAATATTTTGCTCAATTCAAAGCAAAGAGTTGGAGTTGATTACATCAACTATCAACACACGTGAAATGAATAATTCTTTCAAAGGTTCTTTCAAATATTTTGCTCAATTGAAAGGAAAGATTTGGAGTTGATTACATCAACTATGAACACTCGACAAATGAATAATTCTCAAGAAAGATTCTTTCAAATATTTTGCTCAATTCAAAGCAAGCTTTGGAGTTGATTACATCAACTATGAACATACGACAAATGAATAATTCTCCACAAGATTCTTTCAAATATTTTGCTGAATTGAAAGGAAAGATTTGGAGTTGATTACATCAACTATGAACACACGACAAATGAATAATTCTTTTGAAGATTCTTTCAAATATTTTGCTGAATTCAAAGCAAAGATTTCGAGTTGATTACATCAACTATGAACACACGACAAATGAATAATTCTTTTAAAGATTCTTTCAAATATTTTGCTCAATTGAAAGCAAAGCTTTGGAGTTGATTACATCAACTATGAACACACGACAAATGAATAATTTTCATGAAAGGTTCTTTCAAATATTTTGGTCAATTGAAAGAAAAGATTTGGAGTTGATTACATCAACTGTGAACACACGACAAATGAATAATTCTCAACAAAGATTCTTTCAAATATTTTGCTCAATTTAAAGTAAAGATTTGGAGTTGATTACATCAACTATGAACACACGACAAATGAATAATTCTCAACAAAGATTCTTTCAAATATTTTGCTGAATTGAAAGGAAATATTTGGAGTTGATTATATCAACTATAAACACACGACAAATGAATAATTCTTGAAAAGATTCTTTCAAATATTTTGCTCAATTGAAAGGAAAGATTTGGAGTTGATTACATCAACTATGAACACACGACAAATGAATAATTCTCAACAAAGATTCTTTCAAATATTTTGCTGAATTGAAAGGAAAGATTTGGAGTTGATTATATCAACTATGAACACACGACAAATGAATAATTTCCCAAAAGATTCTTTCACATATTTTGCTGAATTGAAAGGAAAGATTTGAAGTTGATTACATCAACTATGAACGCACGACAAATGAATAATTCTCCAAGAGATTGTATCAAATATGTTGCTGAATTCAAAGGAAAGATTTGAAGTTGATTACATCAACTATGAACACGCGAGAAATGAATTATTCTCCACAAGATTCTATCTAATATTTTGGTGAATTGAAAGGAAAGATTTGGAGTTGATTACATCAACTATGAACACACGACAAATGAATAATTCGTTTCAAGATTCTTTCAAATATTTTGCTCAATTCAAAGCAAAGTTTTGGAGTTGATTACATCAACTATGAACACACGACATATGAATAGTTCTTCTCAAGATTCTGTCAAATATTTTGCTCGATTTAAGGCAAAGATTTGGAGTTGATCACATGGGATAGAAAGAGACGACAAACTAATTCCCTTCTCGTTGTTGAAATACATGAGCCAGAAGACGACGAATAACCAAGTCTTCAATTAGTGCTTCTTCGACTGGTGCTGCTTGTACCATGCAGCTTGTTATCATGATTGCCAAAATGGCAATTAAACATACCATTCGAATGGTCTTTTGCATTGTCATTTGTTGCCGTTCGACGCTGATGAGAGAATAGTAGATAAATATGAGCAAGTATGTAAATGGTATGCTCTTGCAATAATGGTTCGGCTTTATAATTTGAATATTAAGAGGGAATGAGATGAATATCGACGCAAGCGTGCTTTTTTTATCTAACTGACAATGAGTAGAAATTCCCCACCTATTGATGGGGATTCCCCACCTATTAATAGAAATGCGCACACTTATCAGTCCAAATTCTGCGCTTTTCGGTGGGAATTCCCCACGTGTCGATAAGAATTTCCCACTTATCTATGGAAGTTCCCCATGCATCGATGGGAATTTTCGACGTGTTGATGGAAATTTTCGACCTGTTGATGGGAATTTCCTACCTACCTATGGGAATTTTCTACCTACCTATGGGAATTTCCGACCTATCTATTGTGTTCTCCTTTTGTTAGAATAAATTTAAGGGCAAATGTGAGGTCGTTTGAGGACAAACATAACTTTTATTTCAAAAAAGATGATCTGACCAGTCAAGTGTATGTCACATATATATATATAAGCATCACCAGGTATAACAAGAAAAAAAGAATGACAATACAGATGCCGGATATGACACCCTTCTCGGACAAGGAAAAAAAGTTTTTGTTTACAAAACACTTTTCTTTTTTTTTTAAACATAATAACATAACTGTAAATGCATCAAATGAAAGAGAAAAAGAAAAAAACAGTAGGAACAAATGTTCATATAATATCATGAAGGAAATATAAAACATAACGAAAAAAAATACACTATAGAGAAAAAATCTGACAATAATAAAAAAATACAACAATAGAAAGAGAAAAAAAAATGTTTACTATTGTTGTTTACTCTTGTATATCATTTGATCTTCTTGATAAATATTGAACTTGACGACGAAAAAAGTAATAATGACGTCGATCAAATATATCACCGAGTAATCTTCGTTCATTTTGTGGTTCAATTATTTTGTCTTTTACACCAATAAGTAATAAATCATCAACCGGTTTGACATGAGTATAATAAATATTGTATTCAGCAAGAATATGTCGAACTAATTTCATTGTAAATCTGTAGTAGAATGAACGAGTGATAAAATATCTATAACGTTGCATTCAGAAATAAAGATTTCTTTTTCGATTTCGTCGTTTTCGAGCTTCAGCTGATCGTGTTCGACTATATAATTGACGTTTCTTGGTTAAAGATTGTTGTTGTTGTTCATAATCACTGACATCATCAACCATAGAATGGTTGCTGACACATAAATCATTATCATATGGTGGTGATGCAGGATTTGGTTGATTATCATCATCTGATATTGCTTCATATAATGATTCATTATTATTTAGTGATAATGCTTTATTTAATTTATTATCATCATTTGAAATTTCTTCATATAACACATCATTATTAATAGTAATTTTAATACATTGATTAACTGTTATTTCATCATCATCATCTTCATCATCATCGGAGATTAATTCAATATCATCATTAATATTCTTAATTATTTGTTGATTAATATTTGTATTTGTTGGGTTGTTATTCGCTCGTGATGATGATGGTAATGCCTGAAATGAATCAAGAATATTAATTTTTTTTACCTGTTGAAATGTCCAATATAATGTAACAAGTCGAATTAAACATATTGCTGCAAAACAATCATATATCGCGTAATGTATCATTTTATTTCTCTTTGATGTTGATAAAGTTGAGTACGTTGGATCTAATATAGTTGCCCAATTATTAACAGTAATTGACTTGTCAATAAACATTCCATATGTATAAATTAAAGCTTGTTGTAATGCCCATGGTTCATTAGGACGATAAGAACTTGGTTTATGACAAGTATATTTTGATAATAAATTCATTTGTCCCTCAGAATTAATATCATTAATAATAATATTACGACGATTTAACAGGCTACACATCTCGCAATGAGATAGTGCCCAACTATACCAATCAGCAAATTCAAATTGAAGATTTGCCATTGATGTTTTAATTGGCCATTCAAACCATTGATAAACAATAGCTGGATAAATTTCCTTACGCAATGGTTCCCAAGAATATATGTTATTTCTAAATTTAAAAATTAATTCAAATAATTGTTTAATTTGTAAATGAATTAATGAATGAATTGGTGGTAAATGTGCAAGTTCTACTAATATAACAAAAAATGGTAATTGTTGAGGTATTGTTTGAATTTGAATTAATGCTAATTGTTTGGTTGTTTTTTCATCGTCAGTATCAAATGTAAATTCATTATAATTTCGTACATAATTAATTAATTTTTGCATTGTTTCAGTTCTTGTATATTTGTTTACATATATATAATTTCATAAAGTGATGTTGGTATATCAAATGCTGGATATTGTTGTTGATATTAATAATTTTTCTTCGCGTTTTTTTGCAGCACATATCAAATTCGATTTTTGATTGTCATCAAGATAAGCTGGAGGGTTGTTAATATCTCGCAAATGATATGGAACAAATTTATCTGACATTATAATGACTAAAGAAAAGAAGATTAAACAAATTGATATAAAATAAATGAAGAGAAAAAAAGAGTAATATAAATGAGGTAAACAAATAAATCATATAATTTATCATTCGTTCTGAGGAATAAACCTATCAAGATTGCATACATAGATATCGTTAGTATATTAATAAAATATGTAATATGTGTAAAGTTAAAACATAAATAACTTTATTTGTTGAGAACAGAAACACCTCTAAAAGAGACGATTTCCTGTGTGTAGTTTGTTTGTATTTGTAATAATGAATATTTGTTAATACTAACCATATGCAAATGATAATTATATTGATAATTAATGCGCGCTAATTAAAATATCAATATTTTCACAAGCATAAGGAATCGATATTAGTTCAACTAAGTCGTTGCGCATACAACAAAGATGATCAAACATCGAATCACCATAAACATAACATAACATTAATATTTAATGATCATTAGCAAATAAATAAACAGTAATATATCATGTTGATTTTAAAATAAGAATAGGTCAAATATCATTAACATGTACTCTGGATTCGACCTGTGGTTTTTCATCTTTGACCCAATCAATTGGATGTTGTTTCCTAATAATTATTTTTGGTGTAATCGAATATGTTGGTTCTAGTTTTTTTTTTATTCCATGAATTTTAATCAGTACTGGATCATTGATTTCATAATGTGGATCTGGACGTTGTTTGTCATAATTAATCTTGTATTGTCGTTGTCGATGAATAATATTATCACGTGCGGGTTGTTGTATTATCAACAGATTTTTTTTCAATTGTACATAATAATCATTTGATTTATTGAAAGTAAATGATGATGAAGGTTCATCAGTAGGTAAACGTGGTTCTCGACCAAATTGTAGTTGAATCAATTGGAAAACAGATCGACTTATATTTCTATAATACAAATCAATCTGCTAGTCTCAACTCTTGCTTTTCAGCAATCGATTTCCTGTCGAAAATTAAATTAGATTGAAATAAATATGCTTGAATAAAAATTAATTTAAAAGAAATGCAGATTATTTTCGCCGACGCGTTTCGTATCTTTTATAAGATAGTACTCTTCAGGGCTAGAGATTTCTATATCTAAAATAGAAAACAAACAAAAGTGTTTGTTACCAGATATTCAAATATGAAGCAGGCATATCATTTAATTTGTAGAGCAAAAAGCGTAATGAGTTCAACTATAAAAGAACATGTCAAAAACCATATTCACTTGTGTTTAATTTCGTATGATTTTTATCTAAAATAATTGAATATTAATGAATAAATGTTGCATGAAAATTTTTTTGGAGAAAAACCAACTTATGATTAAAATAACTCAAGAATATTAAATGAATGAAAGAAAAACAAGAAGAAGAAGAAGAAGAAAATTGTTCAAATACAAAGAAAATAAAAATCAAACTGATAAAATAAATAAAGTAAAGTTTGTGTGGTGAAACATGCAAATATATGCTGTGAATATATGTATGCCTATGAAATACTAATAGTATTGAAAATCTTGATTAATTTGAATGACGTACTAAATTAGCACACCAAATATCATGTCGAACATTCATATATCCAGTACGATCAAATACATGACCTAATACATTTAATTTTGCTTCCGTATGTATAACGAATAATGAATGAACAAGGGTGTGGGTGAGGATGTGGGTGTGGGTGTGAGTATGGGCGTATCTTCTCTTCGCTACACCCACACTCACACCCACACCCACACCCGCACCCACACCCACACCCACCCCCCACGCCTCACACCCACCCACACCCAACACCCACACACTCACACCCACACCCACCCCACCCACGCCCACACCCTGGATGTAGCGCACAGTCGAATAAACATCATGCTCACAATGAGATCAAAGACATTAATGTGCCTGTACATTTGTCATAACGAAATTATATATATATTTTCCGTTACACTTTCATTTATTATAATCTCAATACGATGGTACTACTTCAACGAAATATTTCAATAGATGACCGCATACTTGATAATTGCTGTCGCAGCCAACTGAGAAGTTCTTCTTCTGCTAGATATGATATTTATTGTTTATCATCGTCACATTTCAAATTGTGCGTTGATTGAATCACACAACTAACTGGTATTGGACTTTTCATACAGATGTTAAGTTCATCATATAGCTTAATAAGAGATGGATTACTGAATCTCATGCAGTCCTCTTCATCATATAATGCGTAGAATCCTTATCAATTCAGTTATTTCAACGATTTATTATCAGTTTCTAATAGTGTCTTTCCTATAGAAGTGTCTTTACGGTGTTCGAAAATTCTAAGTGAACGAAGAGATAACATTTGAAGTTGATTTTTACATACTTTATTTTTACTATACGATTTCATTTTGTACGAAATTAAATGATTAAATGATACTGAAAAGAATAATTATCGCATCGATATGAACACATTGAGACATGTTTTGAAAGTTTTTCTTCTCATTTTAACCTTTTATTCTTGTGCTATCTCGATTAACAGCTATCTTATTTGTTTCTATGATTTATCCAAACAATTATATATTCGTTAAATAATAGTGTCCTTACATCAGTCACTGATTTTTTTCTTCGTGGATTTTCCACTTTTAAGTAGTGCATAAGTTAATATATGTGTTTTTTTTTGAACAAATCAAGTCAGAGCTTATCAAACATTTCTAGATTAAGTAAATTGTTAATAAAAATATTCTTATGTTTTTTTTTATTATGTTGTAATATTGACTTCTTAACTTAATTTTGCAATAACTAAGAGCTCCTCTGAATTATTTTTGACGCGAACGAAGTCTATAGATAGGACTATTTTCTCTACCAGCGGACTCAGTTCAGAAATCAAAAGCATGTATCACATAGTTTTTTTTTGTTATTTCCCTGGTTGGGTAGTAAATAACCAAGACGTTTGCTATTACTGAAAAGATGAAAACAATCTAACTCTACCGAATGTAGCATCTCGAAGAAAGAGAGAGCGAGAATTAGAGCCAAACTCTATGCGAGTCTATCTGCTGTGGTAGTTCTAAGATTTTTCTGATGAGCCGTTCTCTACAAATGGTGAGTGTGATTGTTGCTATCGTCCTCATACACCCCATTCCCAGACCCTCAAAATAGTTTCTATTAGAAATTTTAAAGAAACTTGCTATTTTTCTGTTTTATACTTGAAAATATTTTGAATTAAATTGATTTTTAAAACTGATGTAAAATTTTCAATGTTTCTTTGCATCAAAAACAAAATCCAAAGCAGGGCAGGTTACAGATTACGAGAAAAAGTCTCAAGGTAGGGCAGGGTCAGCTTACAAAATTTCTACAGGGTAGGTTATACGTTACAGAAATTTTGTGACGTGTTATCCTCTACTGAAGTTGTATCAAATTTTAATTTGAATTGACCTTCGCCAGTGTACTTATAGGTTCTAACATACCATGTACCTTCAAACTGATTTTTAGTCGAATTCCAAGTTAATTGTATTGCAGACGTGTGACCGAGATTCTCTATTGGATCACCTGTCCCTGCTTCATACTTCTGTGATAGAGCTAGTCGCAGATTTTGCAAAGAAAAACTACCAACAATTGTAAAGTTACCGGCATGATCTGCTCCTTGACCAGTTACTTTGCCTAAGGAACAATCGAACGTAAGTGATACTCGATAAGGTCCGTGCCACTTGCCATATTGATAATATCGAAAAGACCAAACACCTGTCTCAAACGGATACTTCTCGTTGTTATGATACTTTACAGAACCTTGATGGATGAAATGTTGATTCACTTGTGATGGCCTATCATCCGTGCAGATACAGCAACAAATCAGACACAAATAAGTTATTGATACCACCGCCAGCGCTACTGTCAATACGAAAATAAGTATATCAGCAAGTCCGCATTCCATAGAGAAACATAGGAGTGGTTTTCCATCTGACCCTGAAATATTAATAGATCATAATATGAGTCTTCAAACGAAAACAACATCGACATAGTTAGAGTGAATGTCATGGATAAGCACAGAGAAAAATTACTGATTTCGATTGATTTAATACGCTGCTATTAGTACATTACTGAAAACTTTATATATGACTATTATCATTTAAGACTTGTTTTTCAGATAGTATAAAAAACAACTGCCTATCCAAAAACATTCTCATGTGAGGTCAAATCTCAGCGTGCTGTTATACTAATCAAAATAAGCTATTACTTTTTGCCGTTATTTGGAATATACATTTAGTTTGTAACTTACTAAATCCTCCACCACCTCCTCTTCCACCACCACCACCTGGACATTGAACAACGCTTGTCAGAAGAACCAATATAAAAACAAAATATGCTGTGATATGCATTGTTTAATCTAGAACAATATGTCATTCATATAGACTTTCTATTAAATATAATATTTCTAACCTTTTCGATCTGTCAACCTAAGGAAATGAGAAAGACACATTCTAAAGAAAAACAATATAATTAGAGTATACCAAAAGTAGTGATCCTCATATCTTATTTTTCTACACAAAAATAGGATACGGGGTTACTACTTTTAAAGCCTTGCTAATGAGATTCATAAAAAAATACGAAAGAATATCGTTTCAATGACCGTTTGATTTCATGCTAGTAAAAAGTATTCGAGTAGTATTATATCATTATTATGTTTACAATACTGTTCTTAATTATTATACCACAAAAATAGTTTCTAAAATTCGTTAACAATCATTATCAAAGTTCACAAGTAGAATTTATCAATTCTATTGAGCATGTTCTTAGTCATTTTCTTCCTTGATTAATATACGTCGAGTTTAATTCACAGTTTTTGTTTCAATTCAGAAAGATTTTTATAGACTTTTCAATAAATAGATCCCATGCTAAACAGAAATTAAATAGATTATGATAAATGTATACATGTTTGCTTAGTTGATCACTTTTTTGATGAATCATGTAGATAAGTATGCACATCATAGAGAGAGAAAGAGAAAAATCTATCATCACTTCATAGTTAATTATTCGTCCTTGTTTATTATTGTTTGATTGTATGTTTTTTTCTCTGTCTCGATAGCTATCTCAGGACTTTTTTCAGTTATCATTAAATTAAATAGTTAGAAGTTTAATAAATGGATAGCAGAATTATTCTTGTTCTACTTTACAAATTACATTTATTCTGAAAAATAAGAGTATTAAAGAAAAAAAATTTAGGTCAATTTGGATAGATCGAAATGGAATAGAACTTGACGAAATTCAATAAAAGTTTCGTGAGTAATAGTCAGAGAATAAAGAATATTCCCGTCCCAAACAGTTGAAAAAGAGTAGAGTAGAATGTGGGTGTAATAAGTAATGCTATACGAAAGAATAATTGCTAGTTGTAATTACAGAGGAAACAAAAATCTTCTCTATTGTCTACTAATCTCTGCTATACTATGCGATTAAGAGATGCTGAAGTAATTAGAAGATTAAGTCAGATATATTGAACACATTTTTATTTATCAATCATTACAGAAGGTTTTTTTGATTGTGTACCTCGCCGAATTTCTTGATATACACACGTACAAAACTACATTTTTATTGTCTTTTTATTTTAGAAAAGGTATTAAAATAAAGTGTGGATGTTTGTTCATTAAAAATATGAATTTCACTTACTTTAATTAGCCAATAAAAAAGAAAATTCATATGGTGCAGTTTTTTTTATAAAATATTCTATGTTAACAAAAGCGTCTTTCAATACAGAGAGCAATTAAAATACAGCATCGATCCTTATTTATTTAATAACCCAACTTACACGAAAAAACTTACATATTGTTAAAATTTGAAAGATAGAATTCTGGTATGCACTGGCATCATGGACTCCGATTAGTGCAGGGCTAGCTCCCCCACAAAAATGTAAGAAATAAAATTTTGTTTCTGCGAAAATTTTTTGTCTTATTTTTGGCAACTCAAAGATTTTCAATTACAGTGCCATTATACACCATCCATTAATACGTTTCAGCTCTAGTAAAAATGTTTATTTATCCACTCCATTATTAAAAGAACCTTTTCCTACCACAGTCATTCTTGACTATTTGTGAATTCCATATTTTAGTTCTCATCTCTGCCAGAATATCTATTTACAATTTGTTCTAGAATATCAGTTCATTATATTTAATGTTTCTGCTGGAATATCTATTTATTCTATTTACTGTTTCTGCCAGAATATCTATTCATTCTATATACTATTTCCGCCAGAATATTTATTCATTCTATTTACTGTTTCTACCAGAATATTTTTTACTTTCTTTTAATAAAGACGAACTGGGATTATCATATTATGAAATAAATATGTGTTTTTTGTCGAATACTGTCTGCCGAAAAAGCTTAAACTTTCTGCGAAAATGTAGCCCCCCCCCCCCCCCCCCCCCACACTTTCAAAAGTAATCAGGAACCATGACTGGCATAATTCAAGATTATTAGTAATTGTAATTACAGATATTAGAAAAGAAAATGATGAGTGTTTTCTTCGCTAACATGAATAACACAAAAATTCATCTGCCTTGTTCGCTGGAACTGATAATTACTTATGAATCACTAATAATGATAACAAACA